TGGCCCCGGCACCTGGCAGGCCACTGAGCGGTCGGCCGGCGCCCGCCGCTTGCCTACCGGGCGAGTCGGGCCTCGAACCGCGGGAAGCGATCGCAGGCATATGCCTGCGCCATCGCGGATCGACCCGGGCAGCCGATCGCGTCGCACGGCCCGCGGCCGACTGGACACGCGAAAGCCCACGGTGGGCGGCCCACCCCTCCTTGCGCCATCCTCTCCGCGCTCCCCGCCATCCGGCAGGCTCATGGGCGACCGATCGGCAGGCAGGCCCCCGCTGCTTGCCATCCGGGCGGCGGGGAGAGTGGGCGCTGACGCCGAAGGTGCCAATACGGAATGGCACAGGTGGGGAGTGGGGGCGGTCGGCGGGCGCGCGCCCGTTGACCAACGGCCGGCCAGGGGGTGCGGCGCCCGCAGGGGGGCGCGGCGCCCGGGGAACAGACAACGCCATTGACGCCACGCAGCCACACTGTGTCGCTCCACCCAAGAGCACATGTTCCATGGCACTCGACGCCCACTGTCCAGCCGCGCCTGTCCTCGCAAGTCACTAGGACTCTTGGGAAGCGTCCCCAGAGCTGGGTGGTTGGTGTCGTACGGTGCATGCACGTACGAGGCTTCGGACTCGTCCGTTGCACCTGAAACTTGGTATACAGGCTCTACAGCCCCCTCAGAACCCGCCCGACACGATGCGGAGGAAAAGAAAAAATAACGTAACGGTCCGGGACAAAAATGCGGAGCAAAAGCGTAACGGTCGGGATGGACCGATGCGGAAGGGTTGAATATTGCACGGTACACGATGCTTGGCTCACTGTGCTTGATATAGGGGACACAAGAACGTTTTGATCAACACTCATTGTGATGGGCCAATTGGACAACAACAAGCAGATTGCAATCTGCTTCGATCGCAATCTAGATTGCAGATCTCTTGTGCTCCAGGGCCACTTTACAATAGGTGAATCACTGCACTTGACACAACAGATGTAGTTTAAGAAGTCCTGAAGTTACCTTGGTGTACAGGATTCCTTGTTGATGATTATTTCTTCCGTCGCCCATGCATCGCTCTTGCATACCCCTTGCACTCGCTCCCGGATCGCCCTTGCGCTCGCTCACGGATCGCCTTTGCTCTCGCTCACCGATCGCCCTGGCACTCGCTCACGGAACGTCGCCTCCAGGAACGCCCCTCGTTCGGCGCATGGACATCCTGAATCGGCGCGGAACCCCAGCCCATCCTGCCCCTGGGTGTCCGCGTAACTTCTTCAAGAACCCCTGCACACACGCACCTTCATTTCGCCCCGCCAGCCCTTCGTCCAGCACCGCCTCTCACGCCGCTCCGTTGTGCGTGTTCCGCGCTGGAGCCATTCATGCTTTTCGTCTTTGTTTTGCCCGTCACATACTCATCAATTAAAATGGGGGTTCGTTTTGTGTTGGCTGGGGCGGGGGCCCACTTGGCATAATTCCTGATGGATGGCCGGATTCCCACATCCAGTCTTGAGGTCATGCGGCCAGTATCTATTCTCAGCTATGCTACACGATGTTCGGTTTTTCACAATTGAGTGAAGCTTGGGTGCAAAAACCATCACACGATTTGTTACATGGTTGATTACCCAAATAACACAAAGGAACACGATTCTGAGCTGCGCAACACGATTTCCAGCTGCTGGCAGCTACCTCTAACAAGGATACATGGCTGGGTACACGACGCACAACACGAAAGTACACGATGTTACACGATTTTCAACTATCATATAAGGTGTTTCATCGTTCAAAAATGAGTGCAGCTTGGGGGGTGCAAAGTTCATTACACGGTTGGCTACACGGTTGATTACCCAAGCAACACGAAGGAACACGATTTTCAGTGAGGAAACGCGATTTCCAGCTCTTGACAAATGACTCCAACAAGGGTACACGACTGGGTACACGACTCATTACACGGACAGAACACGGTGTAACACGATTGTACACGATTGTACACGATTGTACACGATTGTACACGATTGTACACGATTGTACACGATTTTCAGTTGTTGTCAATTGACCGCACACAGAGTACACGATTTTACACGATTTTTTACACGCATAACACGGCGTGTCATTTTCAGGACCGTGTACTTTGGCCGATTTTTTACTAGTGTAAAAGCCAAACAGTAGGATGCTGTTCGGATAAGTCATCGGGTTAAACCAGCAATTGACCAGAAAGATGGCTACGTCAGATTACCGATTTGTAATCCGATCATCGAATTCATGACGGCGCCTGATGATATCCCTTTTGTTGAAATGCCATCAACAATACAGTTTTCAGATCGTGGCCTGCGCGTGGCCAGGCCCTTTGGGGTGCGCAACGACAGTCTTCAAACAAGACTCGCCCGTCCCCTACCCAAGAGCCGTTGAAGAGCGTGGCAAAAGGCAGCGAAATCGAGTCGCTTTGTATGCGTGCCGCTGGCAAATCGGCCACAAAAATACGGCCAAGAGCTGTCCACCGGCTATGCATGTCCAGGCGCATGCATTCCAAGAGGACACGGACAGAAACATTGAACAAAACCGCAGCGATCGCCATAGATGCACTCATAAACCCATGCAGCTCGAACGATGAGCGTGCCGTGGGCGCACCAGGCTGAAATCCGAACGTTTGGGACCGAAAACTGCTGGCTTTGAAGCCAAGCTCATCGGGCTACACGCCGCGACCCGTATGCTAGGGCCACACTCTCGGAGAACACCAGCAAGAGGGTGACAGGTTCACAAACTATTGTTCGTTTCATTGCATCCCCGCCGAAAACGGGCAGCGCGACCTTGCGGCGCCGCACATGTTTTGGCAGCCACCTAAAACAGCCCCTCGAAACTTCGTAGATGTCAACACATCAGATCCACTTTGATATTTGAGTGTCTATTAACTCTAGGAGTTCAGCCCGTCCTGTCCACAAACGGGTGTCCCATTTCTATAAGCTGTTACCAACCGCTCACTTAATCCTCGTCCAAGGACTGCATCAACACCGCACAACACGCGCCGCGTGGGCCGCCGGCCCAGTCTGCAGAAAAAATGCTACTTCAGCCCTCTACCCTTCAGCACATCAGATTTGAATATAGGACTGCCACACTTCACACAGCTGCCATTATGGCGATTGCATCGTATTTCGAGCAACTTGATGTCACTCATGCAGCATTTGCGTCCTTTCTATGTCTACGTCCTTTCTACCTCCTTTCATGTCTGCAGATGGCAAAACGAATGCCATTTCTGACGTTCATTCACTCAACATGTCACGTCACCTTTCTGGTTGCCACCATTCTGGCTGTCGCAATTGAAGTCTGAATTCAATGCGCTGGCGTAGCGCATGCCCACAGCTGCGTGCATATTCTGCTGCCCATATCCCAGACTTAAATGGCCATTGATGAGTTCCATTGTCTCTTTTTGTTGGTAACCTCATCCTCAATGTTGTACCTGTGTCTGCCATGGCCTATCCACTGAAGTCTGGACCACACTGTGGGCATACGGGGTGCCAGCTTAGTGATGGTACGTAGATAAATTGGCTGCCTATCATTATGTTAGATTGACCCCATTTATTGGCTAACCGAACAATACTTGCATGGCTGTCACTTTTTCTTTGATGTTTCACTTGCAACTTTCCAATTTATGTTGCTGGAGCTCGGTGGCTAATCACTGATGTGCTGTGAAACTCAATGAGAAAAGTGCAAGCGGGAGTGGAGTTCGATTAATGGTGTGAACATCTGACATCAAGCGACTAGCAGGGAATGAATGAAGTGGGGGTTGAGTTCGCCGTTCTGAGTCTGAGTTTTGGTGGGCCGAAGAGGCGGCGCACTCTAGTATTTAAGGAAGTCCGAGTTTGTTCGTTTCTCTTGGTTTGGTTGTAAGGCAAGCTGAGTTGAGACGTGGCTTGTCGGACCCACCATGTCGAGTGCGCTTGAGCACCACGTGCCCCAAGGTTGCCAAAATGTCAAACCGATACATCTGAACTGTGCCGTGCTGTGGCCCTTCGTTGCCAGCATTCGATTGCGACGGCAGCATTTCGAACCAGGATGGCTAAGGAACTCTGTCAGATGCACATTGTCGATACGTCCCGGTGATGGTCAAGAAAATTACGGTCCTTTGCAGCTCCAAAACATGCAAAACTCAGTGAATGGTGCAGATGTCGCTGCCACCGCTGAAAACTCCTTGTATGCACTTTTTACTCCATTCAATGGAGCAAAAGATCAATAATCTTTTGCCTTTTGCCGTTGCGGGGGCACCAGATTCTTGACAAGATTCCAAAATTCATATTCAGATAACCCGTCGACCTCAGCAACAGAAAGTGCGCCCGCCCAGAAGACAGGGCACCCCCTAGGGGCCGCCCTGGACTCCCCGCACCACACACGCCCCCATCATCCCGTCTCTACGGATAACATCACTTCACATGCTGGCGTACCGCGATACAGGCAGATTCGGCAACGCGGGGGGGGCACCACGTGGCGGCCGTCTGACCGGCGCCTGGCCCCCACGCCCCGCCACGGGGCAGGGTCCACACCCGATCCCTCAGCCCTGCCCACGCTGGCGCGTACGAGAGCGACGACTCGGGCATGACGTTGCCGAGCGAGTCACGCCGGTCGTGCTGGCCCACCCCCAGTACCGCCCAACTGACCCCACATACGAGGCCGTTGATGGCGCGCTGATAGGTACAAACAGCACCAATTTGCCTCCAGGTCTGACGGGGAGAACACAGAGGTCCACCTGGCGGACCTGGAAGCAGATTGGGCCGGTTTAGGGCCATCTGGGCCCATCTGAGTTGGGCGGATCAGCGCAGTGTAGGGTCTCCGGCTGGGTCCCGTATTTGGCCACCTGCGACGGCAGGCGACCCCGACAAGCGGGGTGAGCCGCGCGCGCGGGTCGGCCACCCCCTTCAGGGCGGCGGCGCGCGGGAGGGCCGTCGGCGTGGAGGCTGGCGGCGGGCCGGGCCCGCGGATCGAGGGTCACAGATCTGGGCCCCCCCGGGCAGGGGGGGGCTGGGAGTGTGGCCAAAATGGCGTGGAAGCGGCGGGGGCGGGAGGGGGGCCGGGGGGGTAGGAAGAAGGGGGAGGGGGAGGCGCCAGTGGGCCGCACGGACAGCGCCGCGCGGATCGTGCTGGACGGGATGGCCAAGCTGCTGGGCTCCAGCAGTTTCTCGCGGTCGCGCAGCAGCCGAGAGAGCGGGCGGGCCGGGGAGGAGGCGCCCAGGGTCGGGCGCCAGCTGTCGAAGAAGCGGTTCAGGTGGTGCTTCGGGCCGCCGGAGGGCCGGGCGCTGGGCTTTGAGCGGCATCCGCTGGCGATCGAGGTGAGGGGGGGCGGGGGAGCGGGGGGGGCCTAGCGCCGGGGTTTAATGCGTTCGGTGGGAAGCGTGTACCGTGGTGCTGCCCGTCTGCTGTGGGCGCGGACTGTTGGCCGTTGATTCTGGCTGTTGCTTTGGGTGTGCTGCACCTGTGGGCTGGGCGCAGGCGGGCATCGGCTGTGGTCCACCCGCGCGTTCGTCCGTCCCGCGTCTGACTGGGGCCTCGGCCCGGCCCTTGGTCGTTGGGTCAGCGCTCAACAGAATCTGTGCCGTGCTGGAAGTGCGCTGCCCGCAGCTTGCCGGCTGAGAGCGGCGCCAGGCGACGCCTCAGGCCGGCTGCCGGCTCCATTCCCATTTTTAATCTCGCCCGAGTTGTCGCGGTGGAGGCCTCGTGCCCATCTCTGCGCCCTCGGGCTCATCCCCGGCCCGCGCCCTCCCCGCGCGGCCTCGCTGATCGATCGAGTGAATCCCGTCTGCGGCCATCAGCAGGATAGGCGCAGCCTGGCCAAGCAGAGCTCGTCGTGCTCGACGCAGCCCAGCGATCGCGGCCTGGAGGAGTGCCACACGTCCACCGAGGAGGTCACGTCAAAGTACAGCGACTTGTTCAGCGACGCGTCCGACGGCCAGCTTGACCTGGAGGCCCTGGAGCCCAGCGAGGCCAACTTTGCGCTGCTGCTGGCGGAGTGCAACCGGCTGAAGAACGAGAAGCGCAGGTGGGACGCGATTTCTGGAGAGAGATTTCTTGAGATCCGCCCTGCCCATCAAAACGCGTCCCCCCCAGCGGCTCGTGCTGTGCGCTTCGCAGCGACGGCCGCGGGTGCTCAAGAAAGAAGCGCCTTGGGATCCCACATCTGGCCAGAAGGAGGCCAGATCGCGGTCTGCCTTCCGTTGACCTACCCCCCTTTCTCGTTGGTCTCCGTTGGATCGAAATTCCAGTACATGACACTTGAGCGGATGTCCGGTGTCCTGTCAGGATGCAGCAGATGATGTTGGAGTACGACGGCCAGATGGAAGCCCTGGCGTCGGAGTGCCAGGCCATCGTGGCGGCCACCAACCGGCGGTTTGTGGGCGCGGCGCGCAAGGTCAAATACATGGACAAGGTGGTGCTGTCGCTGCGCGAGGAGCTGGACAAAAAGGTGCGGAGCAACACCAACTTGGAGCTGGAGCGCAAGGTGCTGCAGCACGAGCTGAGCGAGGCGGTGAGCGAGCTGGAGACGGCGGCGATCCAGGAGGCAGTGCTGGCAGCGGGGGTTTGAGGGCGCGAGGCAATAACTGGTGGGTGTGGGGGGCCGGGGAAAGCGATCACGGGTGGCTGGCGAAGTGCTGAATTCCTTCGTGGTGCGTTGACTGCGCGAGACAGAGGATGACTTGCGTCGTGCTGGCGATGACGGGGGAATGGCCGCGTTATGTAATCGTTCGTTCACTTGTCCGTTCGTCGCATCTGCAGCGAGCAGAGGGTGGCCGAAGGAAAGCGAGGTCGCCGTCTGGGACGGCTTTCTTCGTGCTGCAGTTGACTGGGAGCGTTGGTTGCTTGTTGTGTGGTGATCGGCCCTGGGTCATTGCTCCAATGTTCTCCTGGGGCTGACAGCTGGCCGACGTATGTTGACGCTCAGAATTGCACAATGTGAAAAGAGATGCACTATATCAGATCTGTGGGGGAGGTGGGGGAGGATGATAGGCTGTTGGATTAGCTGCAGTAGCACTGCCTTAGTGGTATCGTTTGCCAACGTGGTCCTTGGTAACAAAGGAGATGTGGGAATGACGTGTGGCTCAGTGCTGGTCTACTTGTCCAGAATGCAAGAGACCATTTTCTTGTTTCCATTGATTTGTCTCTGGTCGCTGACCTTGTCTTGTACACCAGAAACGAGGTTTCCTTTTCTGGAGGCTCTGGAACCACTGTGGTCGAGCCTGAAATGCCCATTGTGGCACCAGATTTCACCCCACTGTTCAAGGGAGCTTGTCTGTGCAGGCGCCTCTCTGTAGCGCAAAGTCAGGATGAAGCCCTCCGGCAACTCAATTGCCCCACAATGGTTCTGAGCGTCATTGTCATAGAAAAACAGCAACAGCCGCTCGTTTCGTGTCACCTTTTACGAGGCAATTTATGTCTTACGGATGCTGCGGATTCAGCCTTGCAGTTCCAGAACAGTGCACTGGGATGTGTGGTGTGCATTTTCGTGTTTTGTTGTAGTGTGTGACAATGCATCTTGCTCTCGATGTCACCATGTTGTATGGCCATTTGTTCTGCGGATTTATTTCCATTGACCTCCGCTTCCTTTTCAGTTGGCAGAAGGCATTCGACTTGCAGAGCCACTCAGCTGCTACATTTCACCCTGTGTTGCCCAAACAATGACGGAGCTGTGAATGTTCCTGCAGTTCTGCAGTAACGAGTTCCACTGCTGAGATGTGAGAAACATCCTGGTTGAAGTTGGACCATACAACAGGTGCCAAATTTCGGCTGCAGCTGGTCAATGTATCATGTGTGCCATTGTATGTTGGAACAACGATCGTTGTCTGGGTGTCTGTCATCCAAATGCTCAGCTTCTGAGTTGTGTGTTTTGTCCATGGTTTGTTCAACAGAAGGCTCCTGGGAGGTTCCGTGGGCGTGAACTGGAGATCTGAGAATTGTGAAGACAAGCTGTGCACTCCCTTGGGGGCTTTGGAAGCGACGAATTCTTGATGGCGGGGTGGTGGATCAACTTGCAAGTCAGGGAGCAGTGCCTGCATTGGGCACAACGTTTTGAACATTGTGGCCACTGCGGACAGATGTGTCAAGGCTGGCAGGATGGTGCACCATGGACGACAGAGATGATGTTTCTTTTGCTGTAGGTGCTGATTGCCCCGTCTGGCCCGTCTGCACCAGCAGCCATACGTCTGAGGTTGGCTTCAGAGTCCAGCCTGTGCCCAAGACTGCCCAGGGCTCCGGGTGTATGGGACTGCGGTGCTTTGTAGCAAGGGCGTGGGACGCCCTCGCGAGGTGGCTATAGAGGGGCCGGCCGGCGGTTTGCCCTGCGAATAGATTCTCTTTTGGGCCTACTTGATCGAGGGATTGTGGATTGGGGCTGGCACAGCAATGGGTGGCTAGCTGGAGGTAGCCGAGGTGGCCTGGGCAGGGGCCCAGCGAGGGTTGGTTGGGCGGAGCGTGGAGTTGCCCAATCTTGCTCGTCCTCCTGAGATTGAATAAGGGCAGGGTGGGTGGGTAGCTGCTGTGAGAGGCAGCGTTTCTGGGCCTGGGCGCTTGATGCCCCCCACCCGCCCTTTTCTCCTCCGACTGAGACTTCATGTGCTGCAATGCCGGTAATCATGTGCCTTGCACCTAGCGAGATCGCTGTTGTCTGTTTTCTTTTCTTTTCAGCCCCGGAGTTTTTGTGCCCAGGAGTTGCGGGCGGTGCTGTGTGGCATGAATGGAATTGATATAGACTGAACCAGTGTTTAAGGATTGACTTCATTTTTTCAGCAGGGCGGACTCCGTAGAAGAGTCCCTGGGGCAGGCTGCGTATTCGAGGTTAGGATGGGCCCCCACCGTTTGCTGCGGTGGTGGAGGATGTGTTGACTGCAATCGCCCGATATAGGGCAGAACTCTCTATGACCGAAGCTCACGCTTATTATCTTGCGTTTTCTGTATGGCATTGTATTGTAAGTGGCGTCATTGATCAACGTTCTGTGACCATCAAGTGGCCCATGGTGCTCAATGCAGCCTTGATGATTGATTTGCCCGAATGAGAGAAGGGTTTGCCCTTGCACATACACAGCGATGGGTGGTACCAGTCCACCCACAATGTTGGCTTCGGAATTGTTGTGCAGTTCACCTCAATTCGCGTAGGTCGACTTAGCAAGTCATGTTGAAATGCCCGAAACAGAAATGGAGAGCAATCAGGCAACGACTGACTCGAGGATTGAGCCTGCGTCCGAATAGGCTGGTCAATTGCGGATGTGGACTATTTTGTAATCCCAAGTGACCACAAACCCTGCTTAATGTCCTTTTGACGCTTCACCTCATACGTTCCTTCCAAGACTTCATCATCAAGAATTGTTGCACCATTTTCGAAAAATGGGGATAAAAACGAGAACAATGATCGAAGATGAACACAGATGGAAGATTTCCCGGATGGACACTGTGACGTCAGTAACAGACGATGGCGATTAATAAATTTGCAGCAGTGGTACTCCGCGCTCGACCAACCAGGCCAGTGAAGCAGTTTCGCAATACTCCTGTCCAGTGGCTGCATTCATGATACAAAAATAGACAGCAGTACATTTCCCACCGTACTCACAATAGTACATGTGGTGGTCAATGACATTCTCAGCATAAATACCACAGCCCTCAGTCACATAAATGACATTAACTATCTTGTTAATAGATTTCCACCCAGGACGACGTTGGGTGGGTTGCGCCGAGTTTTGAATCGGGCGCAATCGTATTCAAACGGGTTTCTGGCCCTTCCTAGTACCTTGGGTCAGTCAAAGTACGGAGGGTCCAAGGGTCCGCCCGTTTTGGCGGCTTGGACTTGGCGGGCTTTGGCGGGGCTGAGTGGGGGCGGCTATTTAGGCTCCCCCCTCGGTCCCCCTCCTATCTTGTTTCGCACCCAGCCCTCCCGCCCTAGAGAGTGGAGTTCGGTTGAGTTGAGGGGAAGACAGGACAGAGTGGACTGCTGTACGGGAAAGGGGGTGACTCAGGGTTGCTGTCACAGGAGAAACGTGAAGTGAAGTATGGGCGAAGCGAAAGGGCAAACTGTTAAGTACGGGGACCTCGGGTATGTGAAGTTGTCGGTGATGGACACCTTTTGTTTGTCGTGTGGGGAACATGACCGGGTGGGTTCAGGAGACCGGTCAGGTGGAAATAGCAACATCACTGATATAGATGTATATGCTTAATTAATATGCCAGTGTTGGTCAGACATACACATCAGGCTACGCCGAACCCTGTCTAACCGAGCCACTAATTACGTAAAGCCACTTCTATACAGTTTGTGCCCTAGTCTTGCACACGCTCATGCAGTCTAGTAACGTCCTTCGAGTCATTGAAATATGATGGACCAGTAAATACCCATGCATTCCAACCCCGCGATCAACAGCTATTCCAGGTCTTTCTCACCATGGGATTACGCAACATCCCATTATGAAGGCGCATATCACATCAAAGCCCATAGGCACTCAAACAAAACCCAGCCCAGTTATGCTCAACAGAGACATCGCCAGGCATACCGCGTGCTGGGTCTAGTTAGACCATGGAACACATCGACCCTGTCCATCTGTTAGACATGCAAAACGCATCGCTGCACGTACCTGACAGGACAAGTGAGCCAGAGCTGACCTTCGGCGAATCCCCAGTGATCTTGGCAGTAACGCCCGCTCAGATATGGCGCATTCCGCAGGTCACACGTTCTTCCTCCGCACTCAACAAGACTCACAGCAAGGCAGGCGCAAGACACAAGCAAGGAAACAATGCACAACAACAGTGCTTAACAGTGTAACACACAGAAACCAGGCTTGCCCGACGAACGACGCCCCCTGGACCGGGCATCGCCATTTAAATATCCCTGCAAACTCCCCTCTAGCCCACACTCGTCCCGAAGTCCCCCCCGTCGGTCAGTCTGGAGCTCGCTACGCCTTCACCCCATGCACTCATACTGGAAAACGCTTGCAAGTACTGTACTAAAACCCCCCAACTGCTCCCGCAGCCTGCAAACTCGGACCCATCCACCGACGCTTCCACTTGGCCTCTGGCTCGGTGTCCTTGCCCGGAAACTGCCCACACAACTCCATTGCGGTGGCCTACGTGGCCTACGCTTGCGGTGGCTGCACTCAACCCCAACTGGCCTGGAGCTAGCCTCTTTCATGAACTTCTCTTCTGCCTTGTTCCATTGTTCTCAGACCTTCTCTAGCATTCATCTTGTACCCTCTTGTTCCCACTCCGTACCTTCCGTGTGCTTGACATCGAGGTGCAAAAGGAATTGCATTTCGCCATCTGTCATGTCCCCATGCCAGCCTGTCAGCATGGCGACGTTGGACCGTCCTTCACGCGGAAGGCAACGGACAGCCTGTGGCAAAACAACACACCATTTTGAATGTGAGAGAGCTCCAGACCAGTCATGCACCTGGACAATATGACCTGTCACTCAGCGGCCACACTGGACTTCAACTAGTCACGGAACATGATAAGGGCACATGTCTTTCCGCCATCGTGAGGTGCTGTGACGACTATGTGACGACTCGGAAGACCGACAGATGAACTACCAAAGAACATCAATCAAAAGCA